CAATCAGAGCCAAACTGACCTCCTCCCTAGAATATGTGCTACAGAAGACAACACTAAACTTATGGGTTGAGGAGAGGGGCCAGCCCGCCACACCCACACAGAAGCAAACAAAGAAGGAAAAAGAGATGGACGGTGTAGATCCCATATTGGCACACCAAGCCTGGAAGACAGCGTCCCTGCACAGAGCTGCTATTGCCTAGAGCGGACTGTAGGGCCAACAACAGCACAAGACATCGTGTCCCCTCACTGGAGCATTCCTTGACAGAGGACAATACTGCATACACACAGTGGGGAGTTAGTTCAATGTGAACCCCCCCACCCCACTCCCAGCAGGGCAAAACAAGAGGAGAACATAGCAGTCAGTAACAGGAGCAAAGCCACAAAGGCCCTGAGGAGCCTCAAAAATTGGCTTCAGGCTAGAAGAGGCAGCTCCCAGAATTCCCCCAGGACCAGTGGGGAGATAATCATAAAGGTCAGTGAACAGACCTGGAATTATGTATGTTTTTTTTCTCTCTTTATCTTCTTTTTTTTGGTTTTACCTCCTTTTCTTTTTCCAATCTTTTGTTTTCTTTTTGTTTGGTCTATGTCATTGTTGGTTTGCTTACTTATATAAGACAGGCATGGGAAACAAACTCGAGGAGAAAGCAACAGGGACACAGGTTCTGGAGGGATGTAGGGGGAGGAGAAAGCGGGGGAAGGGAGCGGTGAGCAAACAACACTATAGAGAGGGGAACGACTAGGGAATTAAAATCAATAATGAGGAGGACGTAGAGATTCTGGGGGTGTCAGAGCAACAGCAATCTAGCTGAGAGGAATTACTAAGAACCACAAAAAGGGCGAGCGTGATGGTGGGTGCAGGAGGAAGTTAAAAGGAAACAGAGGAATGATCTAGGAATCAAAGCTATGGATAGAGATATAAGTATAGATGTGTCCATATGTAAATACATTAATTCATAAAAAATAGAGGTATTGGCCTATGTACATATATTTCTACAGCAAAACACTGAAGTAGTGGATGGACTTTGGGCCTCTGCTCAAACCCTCCCTCGATGCAAGAACACTTTGTTCTAACAACCTGGCATTCTGTGATGCTCACGCTCCTGGCACAATAGCTGAAGACAAAATGGGCACAGAAGAAAATGTAGTGAAGAAAGTGGATGATAAAGGCTTAGAGTTATGCAAGTGGCCATCTAGCAGAGAAGCAACAAGACCACATGGAAGAAGCACACCAGCCTGTGTGATTATGAGGTGTCATCGGGATTGGGTAACAGCCAGCAGAAAACCACAAGCAAACAAGCAGAAATCATATTGTTGAGAACAAGGGGGCTGAGAGCAGAGACCCATAACCCATCTGTAGACAATGGGACGTCCTCTCACAGAAGGATCACCAGGAAGTGGTGAGTCAACCAGGGCGCAGTATAGCACTGATGAAATACAATCTTCTGGTTCCTTGAGGCTTCCTCACCTCCCCACTATCCTGACCTGATCCTGCCTTTCACTGCAGGCTAGACTGGAGCATGTGTACAGATTTGGATAAGAGATACGAGCTCACAACACACAGCATCCAGGGACAGGAATGGGAATAGCACTACCCGGAGGGTAGGGGGAGAGAAGAATGGGGAGATAAGAGGAGGAAGGGGAACCGATCACAATGATTGACATATAACCACCTCCCACCATCCCAGGAGACCAACAACAGAAACCATGGGGGAAGGGAGGCAGCACAGCCGTCTGTGTAAGACATGAAAATTATAATAATTTATAATTTATCAGGGGGTCACAATGGTGAGGGGAAGGGAAAATAGAGAAGCTGATACCAAGGGCTCAATAGGAAGTAAATGTTTAGAAAATCATGATGACAACATTTGTACAAATATGCTTGATACAATTGCTGTATGGATAGTTATAAGAGCTGTAAGAGCCCCCAATAAAATGATCTTTTAATTAAAAAAATATCATGTGAAGAAAGCAAATGGTCAATAAAATATTATAATAAATTGTGCAAAGATCTAGAGTTAGAAAATCAAAAAGGAAGAACACGCTAAGCATGTTTTAAACTGAAAGAATTGAAGAAGAAAAAAATTCAAGCCTCAAATTGTGATATTGAATGACTCTATGGGTAAAATACTGAATGATGTAGGAAACATCGAAAGGAAATAGAAAGAATACACAGAGTCATTGTACCAAAAGAATTAGTCAGGATCGAACCATTTCAAGAAGTAGCATATGAGCAAGAACCATTGGTACTGAAGGAAGAAATCCAAACTGCAAAGAAGGCACTAGCCAAAGAAAAGCCTCCAGGAAGTGACAGAATACTGTCTGAAATGTTTCAACAAGCTGATGATGTACTGGAAGCACTCACTCATCTATGCTGGCAATTTGTAAGACAGCTACATGGCCAACTGACTGAAAGAGATCCATATTTGTACCCCTTCCAAAGAAAGGTGATTTACGAGAATGCTAAATTATAGAATTATAACATTAATAGTACATGCAAATGAGATTTTGTTGAAGATCATTTAACAACAGGTGCTTCAGTGCATTGACAAGGAGCTGCCACGGCTTCAGGTTGGCTCCAGAAGAAAACGTGAACAAAGGATACCATCGCTGCTGTCAGATAGATCTTGGCTGATGGCAAAAAAAACACCAGAAAGATGTTTACTTGTGTTTTGTTGACTATGAAAAGGCATTCAACTGTTTGGATAAAAAACACTCTAGATAGCCTTGAGAAGAATAGGAATTACAGAACAATTAATTGTGTTCATGTGGAACATGTATATGAATTGGGAGGCAGTTATGCAAATAAAATCAGGGGATACTGCATGGTTTCAAATCAGGAAAGGTGTGCATCAGGGTGGTATCCTCTCACCATACTTATTCCATCTGTATGCTGAGCAAATTATCATAAACTGGATTATACCAAGAAGAATGTGACATCAGGATTGGAGGAAGGATTATTAACAACCTGCGAAATGCAGGTGACACAACCCTGCTCACTGAAAGTGAGGAGGATTTGAAGAACGTGTTGATGAACACCAAAAATTGCAGCCTTAATGTAAATTATGACTCAATGTAAAGGAAAGCAAAATTCTCAAAACTGGACCAACGGGTAACATCATGAAAAACTGAAGATGTCAATGATTTCATCTTGTTTATATCCCCAATCAATCAATGTTCATGGAAGCAGCAGTCAGGAGAGCAAATGATGCATTTCAATGGGTAATTCTGCTCACAAGACCTGTTTAAAGTGTTGAAAAGCCACGATGTTACTTTGAGGACAAAGATATGCCTGATCCAAGCCGTGGTATTTTCAATTGTCTCCCATGAATGTAAAAGGTGGGCATTGACTAAGAAAGGCTGAGGAAGAATCAATGCATTTGGATAATGGTCCTTATGAAGAATATTAAAGTACTATGCACTGCTAAAAGAAAACAAGAATACAGATCAGTCTTAGAGGAAGTTCTTCTAAGAATGCCCCTTAGAAACAAGGATGGAAAGACTCCATCTCATGTATTTGTGATATACTGTCCAAAGAGCTCAATCCCTGAAAAAGGATATGGCGCTTGGTAAAGCAGGGGAGGGGCAGCAGAAAGGAGGAAGGCCCTCCAGGAGATGGACTGACATAGCAGTTGGGCAGGGACCTAGCCCCAACTGAGAGAAGGGTCCAGGATCAGGCAGTGTTTCCTTGTGTTGCGCATCTGGAGCTGCTCCGAGTCAGAACAGACTTGATGGCACCTAACAACAACAAATGGGGTTTCAATGACAGAGTTTAGAAGTTATTTCCTGTTCAGTAGCAAGAGTGATTTTCAAACAAAAGTCAACTCATTTCATTTCTCTTCCAATTGTTTCTCTTTGCCCTCCTCCATCTGAATGATAAAATGTAACTCATTTCCTCATTCCCAAGAGACCTCAGCTCCCAGCTCAAATACTACTTCATCAGAGACACATTTCCAGACAATTTATCCAAAAGAATATCTCCTCTCCCCAACTCTTATCCTTTTACTGTTTTGTTTTTCTTCACTTGGTTCCTTGCCATTAGAATAGTAAACCCAACCAGGTGCAGAAGAATCCATGACAGCTTTTTGGCCAGGTCGTACTGCCTCTGAGTTGATTCCAACCCATAGCGACCATACAGGACAGAGTACAACCCCGCCCCCCTTTGGGTGTTGGAGACTCTTAAATCTTTCTCCAGTGCAGCAACTGGTGAGTTCTTGGGAGCAGAGTTGAATTACTAACCTTTGGCAGCTCAACTGGAAGGCCCCTATGGTACCAGGATGCCAGCACCTAAACCAGTGGTTCTCAATCTGTGGATCGAGACCTCTTTGGGAGTCAAAGGACCCTTTCACAGGAGTTGCCTAATACCATCAGAAAACACATATTCTCGATGGTCTTAGAAACCCAGACACTGCTCCTCTGTCTCCAGGCCGGTCCGCCCACATGCAGACACGCCCACACATGAGTACCTGGCATGAAGACTGTTACTCATGCTACACCATGTTTCAAGACAAAATTTCATTTATTTGTAATTAGATATAAATATTTCACAATACATAATTACATATTCTTTTGTGATTAATCACTATGCTTTAATTATGTTCAATTTTTAACAATGAAAATACATCCTGCATATCAGATATTTGCAATACGATTCATAACAATAGCAAAATTACAGTTAGGAAGTAGCAATGAAAATAATTTTACGGTTGGGGGTCACCACAACATGAGGAACTAACTGTATTAAAGGACGCGGCATTAAGAAGGTTGAGAACTACTGACCTACACTCTTGCACCACCCAACGACTGCTACCTGACATAGCACTCTACCTTTATCTGTTTATGTTCTCAAAATGCTTAATCAGGGTCCTCCCCGGTTGCCTCACGACAGCGCTACTGGGGACCAATTGAAAGTCAGGCAGAGATCTGAAAGGGGCTGTATCACCCAGCCTCCACAAAACACGTATCGCCTTCCTTTGTGATCCTGCACGGGATGGAGCGGTCAGCGTCTCCTGCAGGGGCTCCGTCGCAGAGCCAGATGTACTTGTGCTGGGTCGCGGGCTCCAGGGGTCCCCTGCACCAGCAGGTGGCTGGCACCCAGAGACTGCGGCAGGCGGCCTCCGGGGAGCGCCACTCGCTGCTGCTGCTGAGTGATGGCACTGTCCACGCCTGGGGTGACAACTCCAAGGGCCAGCTGGGCCAGAGAGGCGAGACACACCGTAAGCAGCCAGGTGAGCGCCAGGACCCAGGTGCACAAGCCAGAGGGCTGGGTTGGGGCTCCAGAGTTGAGGACACCTACGGTCTGATGCAATAGTCGCCTGCCCTTCTGTGGATTGCCAACGCACGGGGACTCCGTGTGGCAGGTGCCCCGTAGGGTTTCCCAGGCTGTGATCCTCAGGGGAGCAGCTCTCCAGGTCGCTGCTTGGGAGGGCGGCTGGGGAGTTCCAACAGTTGCTCTTTGCAGTCACCAGCCCAGCGCTTAACCGACCCCAGGGATGCCAGGGCTTCTTCCTTGAGCAAAAACCGTGTCCCTCTCCGCCCAAGCCTAACTAAGTTTCGGTTTCAAGATCTGCCTGGAGTTTTGTTTCAGTTTCAAATGCATCAGTAAAGCGAAACTGAGAACCGAAACTAACCTGACTGCGCGCCTAGACTGGGGTGTGGTCCATGGCGCCTGCGCTTCCAGCGGCCACTCTGCTCTGCGGATCCCCAGCCAGGAGTTAGCCTGGCTGTCCTAAAGCGGTCCTCAGAAATGTGCAGGGGGGTCACTTGTGTTAACAGATCAAAAACATGTATATTAAAGCATTGTTGTAGAAACACAGGGAGAGAAATCGCTTATACTTCCAACACCCAGAGACAACTCCTAATAATATTTTCATGCAGTTCCTCTTTGTATATCTATATACCAAAAACCAACTGGCAGACACTGACAGAGTTAGAGCAACCTTAGAAAGCCCAGTCTTTCTCCCGCCAATCTGCTGATGGTTTCGGACTGTTGGCCATGCAGTTCTTTATAAAGAATATATATGATATGTAATATTATATAGAAAAAGCATATATATCCTTTATTAAAACCATGACCAGTTTTGTAGCTGAAGGGTTTATACACCTCTGTAGATTATATTTTCACACCACCAGGGAGGGCAAGGTGTATGTGAACACCTCACTGCCATTGGGTCGACTCTGAGTCATAGTGATGGCCGACTGCAGCCGCCATTGTGGGTCTCCGAGACGCTAACCAACAGGAAGAGAGACTCATCTCTCTTCCAAACCTTGTGATTTGCAACCCAACGCGCAACCCACTACACCACCACGGCTCCACAAAATAATATGATGAGAATAAACGCAAAATTAAAACTCAAGCCTCTGGCAATTCCGACTCAAAAGGGCTCCCAAGGGTTTCCAAGACAACATTGTGGAGAAGTATTCCCTGTTAATGAACCTGCCAGGCGATCTGTTCTAGTAAGGGTTACATCCTAGAACCCCTCTGAGTTATTTTTGCTTCATCACATTTGGCTTGGGTATCTTAAGGGTAGCTGATTGCCAGACCTTTCTTCCAAGATACTAGTGGGTTTGAACTTGCTAATCTTTAGCATAGTTTCACTCTGCCAGAGAGTCGGTTTTGACTCATAGCAACCCTCCAGACAGGGTATTACTGTCCCTGTGGATACTCCAGCCTATAACTCTCTATAGGAGTAGAAAGCCTCTTTCTCCCAGGCTATTGGTTTTGAACTGCTCAGCTTGACTTTAGCAGCCTAATGCTTAACTCCTGCGCCACCAGCGCTTGTTCTTAGATTAGTAGTCCCCGGTAAATTACTGACCATCTAGAGCAGCGGTTCTCAACCTGTGAGTCTCAGCCCCTTTGTGGGTTGAAGACCCTTTCACAGGGGTCGCCTAAGAGCATCCGAACACATTTCTGAAGGTCTTAGGAACCGAGACACCGCTCTTCTATCCGTCTCCAGGTGGGTCGTCCACATGCAGATACACCCACATACGAGTACACAGTACACGGTGTGATGACGTCATCGCGCCAACCCCATCACGCACACCCCGTACAAATACAGGTGTGTTTGAAAGCAGCAGTATTGCAGGTAAAATGATACTTCATGAATTATAATTACTGGGTAAATGCGTTAATCACTGTGCTTTAATTATGTTCAATTTGTAACAATGAAAATACATCCTACATTTCAGATATTTACATTACGATTCATAAAAGTAGCAAAATTACAGTTATGAAGTAGCAACGAAAATAATGTTATGGTTGGGGGCCACCAAAACATGAGGCACTATATTAAAGGGTCGCCGCATTAGGAAGGTTGAGAACCACTGAACTAGAGGTTTTGAAAGAGAGCACTGCCTTCACTTCACTTCACTCGCTGCCTTTCGATGCCTGGGGACACTACAGGGAGGGGAGAACCGCCCTTGTGGGTTTCCCGGATGTAATTCTTACCGGCATCAGGCGGTTTCAAACTGTGGAGCTTGTAGTTAACAGCCCGACGCATACCTCCTTACACCACCAGGGGTCCTTACAGCATTGTCCTAGATTTATTAAATTAATCATCTGGTGGGAGTTTTGTTTTGTTTTTGCCTTTTTTAAAACAGGACCGATTCGGGCATTGGAAACTCTGAATGTGGATCTCCTGAGCTGTGGGAGGGAGCACTCCTTGGCAGTTTGTCACAAAGGAAGGGTCTTCGCGTGGGGAGCTGGTGCCGAAGGACAGCTGGGAATTGGAGAATTTAAGGAAATAAGTTTCATCCCTAAGTAAGTACTTCAATTATTTTAGTGTTTTTTAGAACCAGGTACAAAGATGACCATGGAAAACAAACCCCTGACCACAATGACGACCATCCAATGAGGAAGGGAGACAAAAAGAACCGCTTTAACACTGATTATGATTTAATTAGAATCCTGTGAAGAGAAAGGGCGGGGTGAAAGGAGAAGATATGGGCTGCTAACCTCAAAGTCAGCAGTTCAAAGCCACCAGCCCCTTAACCTTCTCCAGAAGCTTTCTACTGTCCTACAGAGTTACAGTTGGGGAACCCCATAGGACCAGTTCTACCCTGTCCCAGGGTGGTTGTTAGTGGGATTTGACTTGATGGCAGTGAGTTTGAGGGGGTTTTGTTTGTTTGTTTGGGGGAGGGGAGGAATACAACCTTTTGGTCTACCATAGCCATTGGGTTCAAATCTTTTAATTAATAAAGTGGGGTTCACATGTCTTCAAATACAGGGCAAGTGATATGATAGGCAGTTAACTCTGCATTGTATGTGATGAATTACCTACTTAAAAAATTTTAAGTTAGGGGTTTGTTTGCTTTTTATATTAGGAAGTTGCTTTTTATTACTGCCTCTGGCTGTTAAATCTTGAGAGATTTCTGTAGCTCTGTGAAATAAGCATTGAACTTGGAATGAAAAGACCAGGGTTTGAGCCCACTTCTTTTTTTTTTTTTTTGAGCCTACTTCTACAACTCGACAACTGTTAGACTTCCCTGAGTTCTTCCAGGTTGAACCATATGGGGTTATTGGTAATTATATGGTTTTGA